CTACAATAAAGCTTTAAGCATCGTTTGAATGGAAATTTCTGCCCCAAACCCATTAGAATGAAGAATATTACGAAAAAAGATCTTATAAATCCATTCACCCTGTTTCAAGGGCCAGTTTAAAGAAGCCATGTCGATAACTCAAATGGAAGATGTATTTCCCCGGGCAAGAATCAAGAGCTTCGGGCGCGCCGCCAACCACCAAAACAACAAAGTTTCCCGTCCTTTTGCAGAAAAGTGGATCAAGCAGATAGCGGATGCTGGCTCGAGTGTTTGAAATGAAGCCTGTGAATTGTAAGTAAAAGGTGGGGAGAGATAATAGAAGGTAAAGGGATATGGGAGCATTAATGATATAACCGAAAAAGTGACCATTTTGGAGTAGGTAATATTCAGCCAATGAAGGTTTTGCTAGGGCATAAACAAGTCTATATTGCCTTTGATGCCACTATAATGCCCTTTACAAATTAACTGCATGCATTTCTGGATGATACGATTATAACGAAAATCAAAAAGTTAATTTTGCGTAAGTTATACACAAGAGGAAAAAACGAAACTGCGTGTGAATTCATTTATTGCTGGGGACACCTTCATTCCGTATGAAATTGCATGGAGAAGAGATTTGTGGGTTGATCTCACCAGAAGATGACTGCTGAATCCCATTGTACTGTAGCCATTTGGCTTTAATATGACGTTCAGGTTGAATCCAGCTGTACCTCAATCATTTGGCTTTAATACAATGTTTAGGTCGACGCAGTCCACGAGACATGCTCCCTCATTTCGGGTGAAAACGGTATGAGCTTTCGCTCATCATACGATGGACATAATCAGGGCTGAAACTCATTCTTGTAAAAGTTTCACGTTAACACTAAGTCAAGAAAGCTCAGTCCGTTTTCACCCGAAACCAAAGAAGATGTCTCGTGTACTGCGTCAACCTAAAAATCGTATTAAAGCCAAATGGTTGAAGTACAGCGGGATTCAGTTTTTGTCTTCTGATTAGATCAACCTAGGAATCTATTCTCCATGCACCTTCATACGAAAGGAAGTTCTGCCCAATAATGTTATCTCAGGAGATAATCAAAATCCAGTTACTTTTCGTATCTGTAGTTATCTAGACGATATTTCATACAAGATTCTTTAAATAATCTGTACGTAAGGATGCTATAGAAGTAGATGCCATTTTGTGTAAATAATAATGGCGCAGTGAAAGCTTTAATTAACAATTATTTTAATGTGTATTTTCAAGGAAGCCCGCAAAAAGTAGATTAAGCTAAAATATATTAAAAAGCGTCCATATAAGAAGAATGATTCTATTATACTAGCACAAGGGTTCGTTTTTGACTAAAATCAGTAGCTCCTTAGCAAAAAATGTCTAGTACTTCAATTAAGGTGCGATTTTTATATTTAAAAGATTTTAAAATTCATAGTTTATTTTAAAGTAAGATTAGTTTTGAATGTGATTTGCTATATCCATAGCACTATAACATATTGCAAAGACGGAATAACGGGTTTAACCTATTCCTGATGATACGTAGCATATTCTCCCGCATTGATACGAATAGGCGTGATGATGCCATTGAATTGCGTTTAGCCTTTCCTCTTAAGAGGTTTTTCTCGTTTAAAGTAAACAAAAGTTTGAAGATATGAAAACCAGGATGGTGTGGCCTTTTGTATGGTCGCGATCTTCATATCGTCGATTAAACTATGAAAGCAAGATTACCAAACAATCCAGCAATTACGGCAGGGCAAAGTAGACAGTTGGAATTTTTTCGTATGTAAGGAAGAGTTAATAAAAATAAGTAACATAGTCAATTGTTATGGCAAAAATACGTTTGCTTCATCGACAGTCCAAGCAAAGAATGTGATATGGGAAAAGGCCTGACCTTCTTTGAAATTCATATCTGCTCTGTGACCCAAGGGCACTCGAACAAATGTGGTCGAATTGTTAACGTGTCAAATTCACTTTGACGGTGCAACTCTCGTAAGTGGTGTTGATAAGACCGATGCGAGATCGAAACTGCCGTCCACCCTGGATGAGAACAACTTTTGGGAAAGCAAGCTAATGCTAAATTCAATGGGAGCTTCAGCTCTATTCATATCAATGTGGGAAAATTCTACCACTAGTCCTTCTTCACCTTAAACGAAATAAGGCTAATACATCTCATAAGACAGTTTTAAGTCAGTCCTGACATTGGCCTTTTTGAATTTTTGCAAACATTATAATATCGCTTCCTGATTCCGAAATCTAATGAGGAATGTCATTCAAACATAATTAATGAAATACTTTATCATGCTTTCATTCCGAAATAAGAGGAAAGTTACGAGACCGAGAGGTGAAAGCTATTTAAGTTCATAGATATCAAGTCTAGATAAAGGAAGGATCTAGGCAGGG